AGGAAGCAGCCCTTCTGCTCTGAGGAGGATGGTGGTGGGTGTTTCACATCGCTGGCTTCTCAGTTGTGGAGGGAGGGTCCCCTGAGCAGCCTGGTTCTTCTTCGCTGTCATTTAGACTGATGGCCTGTGTTGATTTTACTTAAAGTACACAGTTTCATTTTGTCCAGAGGTTGAGCAGTGATGATCTTCTGTCCCTGGTTTTTGTGTGTCAGCCTCCTCTTGAGAAAAAGGCTTTTTAGCATAAAATCTAGATCTTTTAAAATTTCCAGTAATTTCAAAGCACTAATGAAATACTTCTTCTCTATAGCCTGGAAGGACTTTTTACATTTATTAACTTAAGGTAAGGCATGTAATTTATCCATGTGTATGATTTTTAAGGTCTTGATAACTTGTTGTGCTTATCAGAGTTTATTGGTTATCTGGGTTATTTGGTTTCTTTGGACTTTGTCTAGTTTTTAATTTACGATTTTTAGTGTAAGCTTCTGTAAGTCTTGACACTAACAAGTTGCCTGATAACTTTTGGATAAATAATCATGATAAAATAAACTTCTCAGACTACAGAACAATGGAATGTACCCATTCTTTATAATCCAGTTGATGTGGGCTAGTATGATCAAGTATAAAACAATATTGATGTAAAATTAGAAGCACTTCATCAAATATTTGTTTAAATCTTAAATATGTTGTGTGGTTGAAGATACAGGCCTTCTTCAGGTTCTGGGTTAGCTGTTCTGTTTCTGTTTTTCATTCTCATGAATTTAAATGACACTAGTTAAAGAAGCTTGAAATCCACAGAAGCAATTAGTACCTTGATTAATGTTACACTAGATAAGTAGATTGAATCTGCTCATTTTGTTCTTAGAAGACAAGAATTCTGATAAAAATGCGTTAGAGAAATCAATGCATGCAAAGCACCCAAGTAGATTAAAAGACTAACTTATTGATTAAAACTGAGAAACAGATACTGCTCATCTCACTAAGCCCTCTCCTAAGGTGAAAGAGAAAATCAGAATAAAGCCTGGCATGTTTTCAAAGAATCCACTTGTATCAGACCATCTCATCATATTTTATTCTTTCCATGTTTTAAGAAAATTAAAAGGCAGGCAAAATATTT